TCTCTGCCTCCCCTCCCGCGCTCGCCTGCCCCGCCCTGCCTTCCTTGCGTTGATGGGCGGCAGCGCGCCGCTCCTCACTCCTCGTTTCCCCTGATGACTGCTCCCCTGCAGACTCTCCACATGGACGTGTGGGGCCCAGCCCGCGTCAGTGGACAGGACCGCGAGCACTACTTCCTGCTGGTTGTTGACGACTACACGCATTACACCATGGTCTTCCCCTTGCGTAGCAAGGGTGAGGTCCCTGAGGTCTTGATCCCTTGGATCCGCGCAGTCCGTCTCCAGCTCCGCGAGCGGTTCCGCCAGGACCTTCCTGTCCTGCGGCTGCACTCTGACAGAGGTGGTGAGTTCTCCTCCAACCTCTTGCGGGACTTTTGTCGTGGGGAGGGCATTCTCCAGTCGTTCACGCTTCCGGCCTCCCTGCAGCAAAATGGGGTTGCTGAGTGCGGCATTGGCTTAGTCATGGAGGTGGCTCATACCTCCATGATCCATGTGGGTGCTCCCCATTTTCTGTGGCCGTTTGCGGTCCGCTACGCTACGCATCAGCTCAACCTCTGGCCCCGTGTCTCCTTGCCAGAGACCTCGCCTACAATGCGTTGGACGGGGAAGGTTGGCGATGCGTCGGTGTTCCGGGTCTAGGGCTCTCGTGCCTTTGTCCGCGATGCTTCCGCGGACAAGCTCTCCTCCCGCGCTATTCCCTGCGTCTTCCTTGGCTTTCCCCCTGACGCGCCTGGCTGCCAGTTTTACCACCCCACCTCGCGCCGTGTCCTCCCCTCTCAGGACGTCACGTTTGACGAGTCGGTTCCCTTTTACCGTCTCTTCCCCTACCGCACTGCCCCTCTCCCCCCCCCCGCCGCTCTTCCTTGCTCCAGGTCCCCCTCCGGTAGACCCCCTCCCCCCTCAGGGTCCTGCTCCCTCACGTGTGTCTCACGTAGACCCACTACCCCTGGCTGTGCCTGTCAAGGTCGCTGTAGACTTAGGTGCTGCGTCTGGTTGTGCTGCGTCTGGGGGTACTGAGCCTGCGAGTGTGGAGCCTGGGGGTGATGAGCCTGAGGGTGCGGAGCCTGGGGGTGCTGAGCTTGAGGGTGCGGAGCCTGGAGGTGCTGGAACTTCTAGTCCTGGAGGTGCTGGAGTTACTGCTGGAGCTGGAGGTACTGGAGGTGCTGGAGCTCTTAGTCATGGAGGTGCTCGTACTAGTGGTACTGGAGTTGCCGGAGCTGGTGGTGTTGGAGGCACTGGAGCTGGAGACCCTAGCGCTGGAGGCACTGGAGCTGGAGATCTTGGAGCTGGAGGCACTGGCGCTGGAGGCGCTGGAGGTGGAGGCGCTGGAGCTGGAGGTGCTGGAGCTTCTAGTCCTGGAGGTGCTGGAGTTACTGCTGGAGCTGAAGGTACCGGAGGTGCTGGAGCTGCTGGTCCAGGAGGTGCTCGTACTCGAGGTACTGGATTTGCTGGAGCTAGTGGTGTTGGAGGCGCTGGAGCTGGAGACCCTAGAGCTGGAGGCGCTAGAGCTGGAGGAGCTGGAGTCCTGGAGGTGTTGGAGCTGGAGACCCTGAAGCTGGAGGCTCTCGAGCTGGAGGCGCTGGCGCTGGAGGCGCTGGAGGTGGAGGCACTGGAGCTGGAGACTCTAGAGCTGTAGGTGCTAACGCTAGGGGTGCTGGAGGTGGCGGTCGTGGTGCTGGACGCACTATGCAGCGGCGACCGTTTTTTGTTCCGCCGCCGCCGTCGTCTCTGCCGCCACCTGACTCGGTCCTTCGCCAGGTTCTTTGTCTCCCGTCTTCTACTGGCCTTACTCCTAGCTTACTGTGTCCACCGCCTCACCTGTCGCAGCCACAGTTACAGCCAGAGTCCCCACTGCCGGCTCCTTCTCCTTACGCTGAGCAGACAGACACTCTTACAGAGCGTCGTGAGACTGAGTCTCATTCTGCCTCACCTGTTCGCGATGTTTGCACTGGTCGTCGTGTTCCTCGTCCGCGTCCTCCTCCTATCCCCTGCACTCACATTATGGCACTTCGTCATTCCTCTGTTCCACTGCAAGTTCCCCTGCCGTCTCCTCCTGCGTCCTCTCTTCCCGACGTTCCTGACCCTGAGTCTAACTTAGCTCGTGCTGACAGTCCTACTGTCCCTTATCTTCTAGCCACTATTGTCATTGACCCTTCGTTTGAGTCCACTGCTGCGTCTGCCCTGGTTGCTGAGCTTGTTGACTTTGCTACCGCTTGTCGTCTTGACTACGCCACTAGTCTTGTTGCTGAGTCCGAGTCTGACTGTCCTCCGTCCGTCGGGGGTGAGTGTGCTCTTGGCACGGACGTCCTTGAGGACAGGCAGGAGGACTTTGAGTGTCTTGCAGCTGCTGTACCTCATCTCGTGGCCATGCTGCTTGTACCTGAGGGAGACCCGGATGCACCAGACATCCCGACCCCGCACTCTTACGCAGAGGCGATTATGGGTCCCTACTCCTCTCAGTAGCAGACAGCCATGGACGCAGAGATGGCATCCTGGAAGTCCACAGGCACCTACGTCGAGACCGTTCCTCCTTTTGGGGCGAACATAGTCGATGGCATGTGGATTTTTAGGGTGAAGCGGCCGCCGGGTTCTTCGCGTGTCTTCAAGGCTCGTTACTTTGTACGAGGCTTCAGTCGGCGACAGGGAGTTAACTTCTTCCATACCTTCTCCCCTACCCCGAAGATTACCACTCTTCGGGTTCTGCTGCACGTTGCCGCTCAGCGTGACTACGAGCTGCAGTCTCTTGACTTCAGCACAGCTTTCTTACAGGGCAGCCTGCACGAGGAGATCTGGCTGCGCCGCCTACCAGGCTTCAATGGGTCATTTCGTGCAGGTACCCAGCGGAGCCTCCGGCGGCCAGTCTACGCTCTCCGCCACGCGCCTCGCAAGTGGCACGACACACTGAGGACGACGCTTGCGGCTCTTGGGTTTGCTCCTTCGACTGCTGACCCGTCGCTGTTTCTGCACATCGACACTTCACAGCCGCCGCTCTACGTCCTCGTGTACGTCGACGGCTTGGTCTTTGCCACTGCTGACACTGAGGCATTTGCCCTTGTGAAGTCGGAGCTGCAGAAGAGACACACCAGCACTTACCTGGGTGAGCTGCGCGGCTATCTTGGCTTGCAAATCACCCAGGACAGAGCACGGCGCACCATCACCCTGACTCAGTCACACATGGTGCATCAGGTCCTTCAGCGCTTCGACTTCCGGTACTCCTCGTCATAGTCCACTCCTCTGCCTACCGGTCACTCGCTCTAAGCTCCACCTTCGGACGAGTCCGTAGAGCGAGTGGCCCGTATCCAGAGCTTGTGGGCTGCCTCATGTACCTGATGACCTGCACTCGACCTGACCTTGCCTACCGTCTTAGCATCCTGGAACGCTACGTTGCGCTCAGGAGACACCGACTAGAGCACTGGGAGGCCCCTAAGAGGGTGTTGCGCTACTTGTGCAGTACGTCGGGCATGGGGCTCGTGCTTGGAGGACGGGTTCCCGTTGTCCTCACTGGACACGCAGACGCTTCTTGGGTTGACGACTTGGTTACTCACCGATCGTCACAAGGTTACACTTTCAGCCTTGGCTCCGGCTCTGTTTCTTGGCGGCCTACCCGCTCGTGTTTTGTTCTCAGTTCCAGCTGTGAGGCTGAGATCTACGCTGGGGCCATGGCTGCACAGGAGTTACGCTGGCTCACCTACCTGCTGACCGACTTGGGAGAACGGCCTCGTTCTTCTTCAGTTCTGTACGTAGACAACAAGGCCATTATTGCCTTGTGTCAGGAGCACGGATTAGAGCACAGAATGAAGCACATCGCTCTGCGTTACTTCCTTGCTCGAGAGTTGGAGCAGCGTGGTCAGCTTTGTCTTGCTTACGTAGCCACTAGGGCCAACACTGCTGATATATTCACCAAGGCACTTCAGTCTGGTGATCATCAGCGTTTCTGTACTGTTTTAGGCCTTGTGCCTACTTTGCCTCACTTGCTCACTTCGTGACTTTGCTTGTACTGTGATCTATGTATATATACCTGCATGCTTACACTTGCTAGGTTATGATCACTATACTGTTTGTTCTCTTTTATATAACTCTGCATATCAACTGGCCTTGTGGCCATTTGGTTGTGCTCGAAATGTGTGGTGGCTTCGTGATCCACCCTTAGCTTGCTTTGCTTTTCTTGACTGGTCTTGTGACCACTTGTTCTCCCCCACTTTGCCTATGGGGGTGTGTCAAAATGTTATAATGCTTACATTGTGTAGGCTGTAGCGGGGTAGCGCATAAAGGGTAGAACCCAATTAGGGTTAGTACTTGTACCAACTTTCTGTTCAATGCATTCATTCTCGTTCAGTATTCTGACATAAGTCTACTAAGTCTAGGAGAAGACAATGAAGTCTATGTAATGACCTTGTTTATAAAAGTTGAAAGAGAACATTATAAATATAAGATAGAGATATAATGGTATAAATTGCAAACCCGCTAGCCATGTACTCTGTGGGGTGCATTCCCTTATTTGCTGTATTGCACAGCTACAGTAACTGCGACTATTTTCATTCTCGACAGTTACCATATTGCATCGCGTAACTTCTGATGCGGTTGCCGGACGGTCAACAGTCGCGACCGTTGACTAACAGCGACTGTTGACCTTCAAGTGACTCTCGATCTTCCGCATGCTCTATATGAGATCCTTCGGGAATGTAACTTTGACCTTTCGGTTATTCTAACATTGGAGGTCTATTTGTGGTTTATTGAAGGTCTATCTGGTGCTCTCATTAACAGAATTTGGAACTACAAGTTCCTGAAATGAGAGTGTTTTATAGAATCAAATTCATGGGTATTCTGGTCAAGGAGGTTCTTGTACGGAAAGGTCAGCACCTTGTGAATGTACATCGCAAATAAGGAAATTCTGACACACATTGTTGGGACCGCCGCAAGCCAATCCCAAGACAGAACGCAAGGACAACAGCGGATCTGATAAAAGTAGTGCTGCCGCGCCCAACAGATCAGCGGACAAGGCTATGCAGCCTTTAGTATGCGCGCGCGCCTCTCCTTTCGTACGTCTCAAGTCAAGCACTGGTACTGCCTCTACCAGTGCTTTCACAACCAGCACCCGTGCAGGTGTGAGAATTTCATTGTTGTCCCAGCAGCACCCCTTCGACGTTGGTGAGAATACTTCGTTCACTCGAAAAACGTCTTTGAGGCATGCCCGTGGCGACGGCAGCCACTGGGAACAAGAATAGCTTCAGCCGCAGGATCTACACATTACTTTATCACGGTTGGATCTTCATACAGTCGAATCTCAACATGGATCGAGGAAGGTTAAGCGCGAAGCGGTTGCTTCTACTATCCGTGCTCCTCCCTGCGCTCTTTCTTTCCTACTCCGTGTTTACGCCGTCTCCAATCATTGAGTCGAACGCAGACCCCCAACCAGTAGTGTCCCCTGGTTCGCGGAAACTTCACATCGCTTCGGAAGACGGGGATTCGTTGGATGGATTAGCCGAGAAAGTTACGGAGGGAGATTCCGCTGTAATATTGACCGAGGTGAAGGCAAGTCCGAGCACGGATTCCGGGGGAGATGGAAAGAAGACACCTGCAAAAGGCGACAGCAACGCAGAAGGTTCAAAGAACAAAAAAGATGCTGGGAAGAGCAAGCATGGTTCAAAGGACCAATCAGATTCTTCTGGAGACGCAGCTGCGGAGAAAGCATCTAAGGGCGAAACGGCAGTGTCGGTACCAGAAAGCGTCTATCTTCTACGACCCAGAGTTTCAGGTGATCAAATCGCGTTCAGCGTTAGGAGGTCAAGAGACTTGGCGGTCGGAGTGTGGGAGCTTTTGAGAAGCTGGTAGAGAGCATCGCCGTGTGTACCGTGCACTGTAAACGCTTCTTCTTGATGAATCCAGCTTTGTCATGAGTGAATCCATGTTGGGGTCTACTGATGCTCTAGAGATAAGCTCGCTGCTACCATCTCGCTCACTTTATCCTCCCTTCCCCTCCCATCCCCTTATTCCCTCCTCGGTCCAATTTTCTTCCTCCTGACCAGACTGGGACGCAAAGCGAGCAGCACACATAGCGGCGAACCCGGGGTGCAACCGAACGGCAAAGGGCAAGCCACGGGTGATGATGGTGACAGGGTCCAACAGCAAGCCGTGCGGGGAGCACGGCGAGAGCGACTTCCTGCTGCTCAAATTCCTCAAGAACAAACAGGACTATGCACGAATCCACGACCTGCAGATCTTCTATGGCATGGGTCCCATGAACAAGAATTTTCCCGCATTCTGGGTGAAGATTCCTCTGCTGCGCATGCTCATGCTCAAGTACCCGGAGGTGGAATGGTTCTTCTGGATTGATTCAGACGCCATGATCACAGGTATGGGTGGTTCATTCATGTTATGAATTTCCTCCTCTGCTCGCTTACTTGCTCCATCTGGGGATGCATTTGTGTTATGTTGCATTGCATTTTTCCATTTTACTCAACGCCGGTTTGTTCTTTTGCAGACATGGCATTTGAGTACCCGATAGAGGAACACTCGTCTGCCACCGTCGTCCTATCTGGCTTCCCGGATACCCTCTTCAAGAAAAAGGACTGGTATGTGTGGATCAAGCACACGTTTTTCTCAAAAATATATATGTCCAGTGTCGCATATGCTGTCAATGGCCTATGCTTTTTGCACTGTTCACTCCCTTATGTGTTTTGCTTAACCCTGTTCACTCCATTATCTTACCAATTTGCAGGGTGGCCATTAACACTGGAGCTTTCTTTATTAGAAACAGCCAGGTAAGTTTCCAACTCAAACATGATGATGTGGGAATTTATTCCTTTTTGCGTTTGTTTCTATGTTCGTTGAACTTTATCACACTGATGCGCTTCTCATCAACCATTCCTGCTTGATGACAGGCACTATTCATTAGCACCATCGGGTCCCGTTCATGTTTGTTCAACAACAGATCGTTTTGCATTTAAGCATGCACTGTTTATCAACCATCTTGCTGTTTCCTCACCATACCTCACACCACGCTCAACCCACCCTCATGTTTTCTCATCATCCTGCACTGCATCTATGCATGGACATGGCACATGGTATATGTCACTGCTCTGTCACGTGGTACGTGGCACATAACACACAACACACAACACACATCACATGTCGCATGGGACATGCCACTTTACACATGTCACATAACACTAATCATGCTGGCAGGATGGGTTGGACTTCTTGGATGACTGGTCAACGTTTGGCAGCAGTGAGGCAGTGCGCTTGCAATGGGGCACTGTTGCCAGCAAAACGTTGCATGTAAGTCCCACAGGGAGCCACGTGTCAACCTTTGCACTTTGAAGCAGTTGGTGGTGTCACAGGTTGAATGTGACACAATGGAAGCGCGTATGGCCCTGGTCTGTCCTTGCAATTGATATTGTGCTCAACTTACTGTTGCTTCTAGTGATTGTTTGTTTGTTCTGGTTTCCTTGCGAATGGTGTGTTTGCAGGGCCGTGCTGATTGGCCAGTGGATGATCAGACGGCTCTGGTCCTGCTGCTGCTGGGGGAGGGGGAGACCCCTGAAAGCAAGAAGAGGGGTGTGATGCTGCGCAAGGACAAATGGCTTCCGCGTATTGAGATCGATTGGAGGACAACCTTGCATGGTTACTGGATGTCCTTTGTTGACAAGTAAGATTGGCAACAAGATTTGTTCATCTTTGTATCTTCGTTTCCTTTTCTTGTTAAGTAGATTGCATCCATTCTTCCCGCATTCTTCCCATTTTGTGCATCCTGTGATGGTCATGTTGGCATGAATAACAGGCTGGAGGAGATTCAAAGCACAAAGCACAACGGACAGGGTAATTGGGAGTGGCCGTTCACAGTGCATTTTGTTGGCTGCAAGCTATGCACAAGGGAGGCTTCTGATTACGACCCCGTCGTTTGCAACAAGGGCATTCACCGGTGAGATGCAAATTCCAAAGCTTAGTTTGTTCACGCATCTCAAACTCCTGCTTTATTCGTTGGCGTGTGCAATATATGTGATTCTCTCTCGGAGATTTTGTATTTTCGCAGGGCCTTCGCGTTTGCTGAAAATCAAGTTTTGAGTGAGTTTGGCCTGCATCATGCAAATTTGAGTGAGCCAGCGATTTCTCTTATTCAAGGAGAGTGACCCTTGCAGCAACAAGCTAATGGCTTTATATGTTGTGTGAGAAGTCTCTTTGGATAGTGAATGTTTGCTCTTTGTGAGATGTAGTTATGGTGCATGAAAATCATAGTTTCGTATGCTTGTAGGTGTATATCGCTGTGTAGTCTGAAATATCCTACTTCAATCACGCACTGCATCGAATCCGGGTGTACGGGAATATACTCCTGAACCAATCGTACAGATATTTGTACCTCCACGAACCGACCAACCACCTTCCCTTCCCTTCCATTATCATCATCCCCTCACTCACTCTCCTGTTTCACTTACGGCCATGGCAATGGCAACCATTGGCCCGAGCGGGTGCCACGGACAACCCCTCATCATCACATGCGATCCGCTTGAACCTTAGCTCCTCGTTCCGAATTTGCGTAACTACATATCCATTCTCTCGCCACATTGCAGCTTGCAAGATTGCGGTGCCGTAGCTGTCTCCTGCCGAATTGACCCAAAAGTGTCCTCGCCGCATCGCAAGGTCATGGCAGCAGCTGCTGTCTCCTAACAGCACGGCGGCACGCAGTGTCCGTCGTCCTCCCTCCTGCTCCACCTCCTCTTCTTCCTCCCCCTCCCAAGCTCTCTCCGTTTCCGCTGATGTGATTGCTTCCAACGCGCTCCGGGCTCGAGTTTCGAGTCGTCTCAACACTCGTCTCCGCCAATGGGGTCGTTGGAGCTTCCAACGCGCGCGCTCGGCGCGCAGCGGCCAGGCACGAATGCAAAGCTGGCTCTTTTCACCCCCGCCAATTACTACGTGCCACGTAGCAAAACACCGCCGGCTGGCGGCGGATCCGCGCCTGGCGGCCTCTCTTATTTCCTCCCGCATAGCCTCGTGTTTCGCGCGATCGCCGCTGTGCTCCTCGTGATCCTCGCCGTCTCTCTAGAGCTTCTCCTGCTTAATTTCTTCCAATCCCGTGCTGCCACGTCACCGCTCAAAGCTCTGTTTCCCCAGCGACCAGCTTCCCCCGCCCCGCCGATTTCCGCCTCCCCTGCCACCCCGCAGCTTGCGCCGATGCTAGCGATAGACCCCCCCCTGCTACGCGGCGCAGAATCCGCGCGCGCCGCAGTCGGCGGCGGCGGCGTCCCCTTTGCCCCTGCCTTCGCCGCCTGGACAATGATCCCGCGAATCGTGCCGCTGGTGTCGCCGACTTTCGAACCGCCACCGCTGGCGGTGGTCTGGGCGGGATCTAAATGCAGCGACGACTGCCACAATCGAGGCACCTGTAACGAGGAAATCGGTGCATGCCGGTGCATGCCCGGATATGGGGGTGAACACTGCTCAGAACTGGTCATGCCTGGGTGCACGAAGATTCCAGGAAATGAGAACGCGGGAGAGAAGGCAGATGAGGGTAACGGTAGTGTGGTGGCCCTATCGCCGTGTTTCCTCCATTCCTCCTGTGCCTGCCTTCTAGACTGTGACAAACACCACCTACCACACCCCGCCACGTGTCTCGACTCAGCACCGGCAGCAGCCGTACCAGCGGGAGGAGGGATAGCCGGATGGGAGTGGTACAGGGTGACCGCCAGCGGGTCAGGCGAGGAGACGGGGAGGGAGAGGGTGGGGAAGGGGGAGTTGGAGGGAGGGGAGCACCTGAGGCCACCTGGGGATTGCCCTGAGCGGTGCTCTGGTGTCGGCACCTGCTACTCTGATGGCTGCAGGTACGTACATACCTACCTACCGCCAAGGGCCTTTCCTTTCATCCACACTGCTGCTCGTGTTGTCCTCGTGAGTGACCTGTGACCCTGCTGCTTCAATCTCACCGCCTGCTAACCTACCCGCACCGCCCCTCCCACAAGCCTCAAGGCTCAAGCCTCTAATCACTTCTCCCTAACCTCCCACCTCTCTCGCTCCCGCTCCCCTTCCCCTCTCTCCTTCCCCCCTCCTGCCACCCTGTTCCCTATGCAGGTGCCCCTGGTTCCGCACAGGGAAAGCGTGTGAGGCGGTGGCGAAGGGCGTGGGGTGTGTGAACGCTTGCAGTGGGCGGGGGGAGTGCGTGGAGGGCACGTGCCGCTGCCAGTACTGGACGTTCGGAGTTGACTGCTCGCTGTTTCTGGACACCATGGGCAGCGTCAGGCACGTGTGCGGGTGCTGCGGCTGCTAGTGCTGTGTTGACTCTCGTTCAAAGCACAGGAACCAGCAGCTTTGGTGTTGTTGCTGCTGCTGCTGCTGCTGCTGCTGCTCTCTGTGCTCGTTGTTGTTCCCCCTGGGACTCATTCTACATCATGTCCCCCATTCTCCCTCCCCCTCCCCATCCCCTTCCCTTCGTCTCCCCCCCGCCAGGAACCTCCTCTTCCCCCCATTCCGCTGGGCGCACCACCTCCCCGCGCCCTCACTCGCCCACATCGCCACCTCCCGTCCGCTCATCTACGTCTACGACCTCCCCTCGCCCGCCACCACCTGGCCCCTGCGCCTCTCCTCTCGCTCCCCTCACATCGAGCCTCTGCTCTTCCTGGAACGCCTGCTAAACAGCGGGCACCGCTCTGCAAAGCCTGATACCGCGGACTTGTTCTACGTGCCGCTCTTCTTTCGGTGGGTGCGCTTGCTTGTATCCCCTGCCTCCCTTGCTTGCCGTGCCTTTCCCCCTACTTACCCACCTTTTGCCCCCCCTGCCCCTCTTTTGCTGACCCTGCCTTGCCTTTCTGTTCCTGGCTTGGCCGTGGCCTTGCTGCCTGCCGCTGAATCTCCCTCCGGTTTCTCCATCCACCCGCCCTGTTATAGTCTTGCTCCACGCACCTTGCACACCTGAGGCTCTGCTGTGAGCCTGTCTCCCTGTGCCTCCTTGCTTGTCCACTGCTCGCCTCCCTTACACCCCAAACTCTGAACCGTCTTTCGCTCCCTTTCTCCCACACCCCTCCCAACCCAACCCAACCCCACCTCCTCACCCATGGCAGCAATGACAAAGCACTCGATGCCAACCTGCTAGCATCCACAATCACCTACATCCGCACCACATGGCCCTACTGGGACCGCCGCAACGGCTCAGACCACATCTTCCTCCTCCCGCCCCCTCTCTCTCGCTGCACACTCGGGGATTCCGGTTCCACCGAACCCCTCCTCTCACGCAGTATCGTACTCTCCACGTGCGGTTACACCCACTCCCTTGCTTCCCCCTCGTCCCGCGATCCAGCGTCAGCGCCGTCAACGCCGCTGCCGCTGCTGCCGTGCTTCCAGCGGGGGCGGGATGTGGTGATACCGCCTGTGCTCCGGTTGAAGGATTATCATGCGATTCCGTTCTTGTCGGAATTAGTGAGAGAGGAATCCAGTGCTGCCAATGTCTCCCCTGCTGGCAGCAACAGTGGCAGCGGTGACAGCGCCGACAGTCTCTCTGTCTCGTCCCCTCGCCCAACAGTTCTCTTTGCCCGCTTTGCTGCTTCAGACCTACAGCAGAATCGCACGGGTCTGAGTTCCTCTGTGACAAAACGCTTTTTGGAACTCTTTGAATCGCGAGCAGCGGAGCTCAAGTGGCAAATAGAGGTGCAGGAATCAGCCAAGGTTCGGGTCTCCGACTTGCTCAACGCTACCTTCTGCCTCTCCACGGCTGCTCGTGGCCAGCATTCGTCGTCTGTAGCGAGTGTGCTAGCCGGGTGCATCCCCGTGGTGGTCGAATCCCACACTGTCCTCCCCCTCGACCACCCCCACGGGCTCAACTGGACCGCTTTCTCCCTCCGCGTCCCTCTCTCAAACCTCCCTGATCTCCCGACCCTTCTATCCTCCCTCTCCCCACAAGTCGTTGCTGCGATGCAGCGGGAGTTGCGTGGGGCGTGGCCGAAGCTGGTGTGGGCGAGCTCTCAGTTCAACCCGTTGCCCCGGGGTCTGGCTGTGTCCCGGGCGTTTCACAGAGCGGGGCTGTTGCTGGCTGATGGGGATGTGTTTAGTTCTGTAATGCACGTGCTTAGAGGGCGGATGGTGGGGGAAGGGGGAGAGGGGAGGGGAGGGGATGGGGGGGAGGAGGGGGGAGAGGAGGGAGGAGAGGAGTGGGGAGAGGAGGAGGGAGAGGAAGTTGAAGAGGACAGGGAAGAGGAAGGGGCAGGAGGGGGGGAAGTTGGGGAAGAGATTAAGGGAGATGGGGTAGAAGGTGATGCAGAGAGGGACAGGACCGAGGGACAACCTGATTCTGATGCTGCTGCTACCGCTGGTTCTGCAACTGGTGATTCTAATGCTGCTGACGCTGATGGTTCTGCTGGTGCTGATTCTTCTGCTGCTGATGATGACGCTGATGGTTCTGCTGGTGCTGATGCTTCTGCTGCTGATGATGATGCTGATGGTTCTGCTGGTGCTGATGATGCTGATGATGCTGCTGGTGCTGCAGGTGCTGATGGTGCTGCTGATGATGTTTCTGCTGGTGCTGGTGATGCTGATGGTGCTGCTGCTGCCGATGGTGCTGCTGCTGCTGCTGCTGCTGCTGCTGCTGATGGTGCTGGTCCTTCAGAAGCCCACCAAGATTCAGACGCTCTTCCCCCTCTTGGCTTTACTTCAGACGGAGCAGTGGAGGCAACTAAGAGTACAGAGACCGAGCAAGAGCGCCAGGCACGCATCAAAGCAGCGCAGGCATACGACGGGCCAGGCCCGGACCTCTCCCGGCCATCTAAATGCCCTGAAGAATGCACCGCATTCGGCACATGCAACGAGGAGCTAGGCCGCTGCGACTGCCCCCCTGGATTCACCGGTCCCACATGCCAAACCGTCGCTATGCCAGAGTGCCACTTGGGGGAGAGCTTGGGGCAGAGCAACGGCACAGGGACGGGATTTGCATATGCTACCCCGTGTTCTGTTATCAGCACGTGTGCCTGTGCTGCTGCCTGTGCGCGATGGCGTTTGCTGGGTTTCTTTGAGTGCTTTGAGGGGAATCGGCCGGACGGAACCCCTGAGACAAATCTTTCTGTGATATTCTCTGGGACGCGATACGCGGTGGCGCTGGATGCGCAGTTTCGGGATGTGGGGGCGGGGGTGGGGAAGGATGGGAAGGGGCGGAGAGCGGTGGTGAGCGATGGACCCAGCCCGTGGGCTGGTCCGGAGGAGTGTGAGAGCATGTGCTCGGGACGAGGGGTGTGTCGGAAGGAGTCCAAGGTGTGCGAGTGAGTGTGGTGCGGTGAGGAGGTGTGTGGGGTGAGGGGGTGTGTGGAGTCACGAGGTGTGTGGGGTGATGGAGTGTGGGGCGAGGGTGTGTGGGGCATGCACATACACATGCACATGCACATGCACATGCACATGCACATGCCTATGCCCATGCGATGACCCCTTTGCTTAAACAGCTATTTTCCTTAGTCTCTTCCAGTTCCACCGTCCCTTCCCCCACCCTCTCCACCCCTTTCCCCCCCCGATCCCCCCGATCCATTTTGATGCTACCTTCTTTCACTCTTGAAACGTCGATCCCCTCTTAGCACTCTACCCCCCTACTCCCGTTCCCCATCCCCCTGTTCTCCCATCCATATGCAGCTGTGCATGGTACGACAACGGGCGCGCATGTGAGACGCGGGGGGACCTCCCCTTTGACTGCTTCAATGGCTGCAGCGGGCAGGGCGAGTGCAGGCGCGGAGTGTGTGTGTGCCAGCGGGGGTACTTCGGCCTTGACTGCTCCATGTTCATCGACGCTCAAGGCACCACCAGGTACTGCCAGGGAGTAGGAGCGGGCCGGGTGGCGTGGAGAATGAAAGCCAAAGTTGCACGAGCGTGGTGTGTGCAATTACGGGGGGTGTGTGTGTCGGTTGGACTGCTCCTTGTTCGTCGACGCACAAGGGATCATGAGCCAGTGTAGAACTATCGGCAATTTCTCACTTTCGTGCCCACTCAACGCCCCCAGCGCCCCCAGTGTAGGACAAACGGCAATCTCTCACTTTCTTGCCCCCTCTTCCGTTCCTCCGCCCTTCTATCACTCTCTCCTCCTCCTCCTCCTCCCACTCTCCCCACTCCCCGCTCCCCTCTCCCCACTCCCCACTCCTCATTCCCCACCTCCTCTCCATCCATCCGTCACTCTCCCACTCTCCTCCCACTCCCCTCTCCTCCCTCTCCCCACACAACCCCATACCAGGATACTGCGCTTGCAACCATTCCTCTGGTCCACAGCCGTACCACCCCCCTCTCCTTCCCCCTCCTCCTCCTCGCCCCTCCGCCCGCTCATCTACGTATACGACCTCCCGCCGCACTTCAACACGTGGCAGTTCGCCCAAACGCGCTACATCGACTGGCGAGAGCAAGTCTTCTTTCTAGAGCGCCTCTTGCGCTCCCCCCACCGCACCCCAGACCCCGCGCAAGCCGATTTCTTCTACGTCCCTCTCATGTTCCGCGCTCGACTCATGAAGGCAAACACTCTGGCGTGGGCTGTATCCTATCTGCGTTCCACGTGGCCGTTTTGGGACCGGAGCAACGGGTCCGATCACGTGTTTGTGACGAACGACGACTGGGGGAACTGTGACATTTCTGTGTCCGGAGAGAGGGATTCTTTTCTCGCAAACAGCATCACGCTCACTCTCTGGGGGCTCACACAGAATATGAACCTGGAGGATGCACCGAACAGGTGCTTTAAAGCGGGGCAGGATGTGGCGATTCCGCCCATGATGGTTCCAGACGTGTATAAGTACGTGGTGGAGGTGAAGGAGATGGTGAAGAGGGAAATGAGGAGGCGGGGGAAGACGGGGGAGGTTGTGGAAGCAGGAGTGGCAGAAGGTACGGGAAAGGACGCAGAAATAGGAGCACAGGAGGAAGCAGAGGAAGAGAGGAACTCTTTAGAAGCCGTGCTTTCCGGCGCCAACCGCACCACCCTCCTCTATTTCAAAGGCTGGCCAGCAGACAAAGCAACATCGCACGGGTCGTACCACTGGAGCTTCGGCGTGCGGCAAGAGATGTTCAAGCTGTTCGGAGGGCGGTTCAACGAGACGGGGGTGCTTTTGGAGAGCACGGAAGGGTTTGTGCAGGGGTATCTGGTGGAGATGCAGCGCGCTGTGTTCTGCCTGGCGCCGTCTGGGTGGGGGTGGGGTATGAGGACCACGCAGGCTCTCATGCTGGGGTGCATCCCTGTGATTATCCAGGTGCGTGGGACATGCTGTGCTGTGTATGATGTGACTGGCAGCCTCAGGTTAGGGGTGGGTGGGGGTGGGCTATGCGGACCACGCAGGCACTCAGGCTGGGGGTATCCTCGTGATTATCCAGGTGCGTAGGGCGTGCTGATTGTGTACCTGCAATAGTAGGTGTTCGTACTCATGCTCACCCTCCTTCCTCCCCCCCCTCCCCCCCCCCTCATCACTTTTCACTTCCCGTACATACACACACACCCCCTATTCACCTCCCCATTTCCTCTCTCCCACCCAGTCTCCCCTTCCCTCCTTTCCCCCAGCCGCACGTGGTTCAGCCCTTGGAGGGTGACGGCACGGACTGGTCCCAGCTCGGAGTTGTCGTGGCCATCACCCCCGCACACCTTTCTCCTTCCACCAACGCCCTAATTCTTACTGCCGATTCTTTCCACACCCACCCTCCCTCCCCCCCCTTTCTTCCCCCCCCCCCAGCCGCATGTGGTTCAGCCCTTCGAAGGCGACGGCACAGACTGGTCCCGTCTCGCTGTCATCCTCTCAAAGGCCGACATCCCCCACCTCCCCCGCATCCTCTCCTCCATCCCTGACCTCGAACGCCGCGCAAAGCGCCGCGCTATGCTTGACGAGTGGGTCAAGTTTGTGTGGGCCAGCACCCAGCTGAACCCCTTTGGATTCCTGCCGAAGGGGTTACAGGATGAGATGGCGGTGCGGTTGGAGAAAGGAGATGTGTTTGCCACGGTGATGAGTGCCCTGAGGAGGAGGTTGGAGGGGAAGGGAGGGGGGCGGGGAGAGGATACGGGTTTGAATGCAGCAGCAGCAGGAGCGGGAGCAGAAGTAGCAGGATCAGCAGAATCAGCAGGAGCAGCAGCAGTGGCAGCAGCAGGAGCGAAGTTGGACCAGCAGCAACGGCAGCAGCAGCGGTCGGAGTCGTCGGCATCATTAGCAGCACAGAGTGTATCGGGTGGTTCTTGTAACGAGGCCTGCTACACGCACGGCACATGCAACGAGGAGCTGAAACGCTGCGACTGCCCCCCGGGTCTCACAGGAAAGGACTGCTCCGACCGTGCCATGCCCTCCTGCCACGTGGCACCTGGGTATTGGACGCCGTGTGGGGTTCTGTCGTCGTGTGAGTGTGCATTGGAGTGTGAGAGGGCGGGCGTTCCTCCCTTTCCGCTGTGCCTGGATGAGAGTGAGGGGGGGGAGGGACGTGGGGGAGAAGGGGGAGAACAGGGTGGTGCAGAGGAGGGGGTGGGAAGAGGAGAGGGAGAGGGAAGTGCAGTTGGAGCAGAGGCAAAGGAGGAAGGGAGTCAGGGAGAAGAGGAAGCAGAGGACCCTGCGTTGAGCCAACCTGCGTGGCAGCGGGCTGGGTGGCAGGGCTTGTCCTCTCTGCTGAAGAAACCCGTGGTGTGGATGGCGACTGACGGCGCGGGCGGCGAGACAGGAGCGCGTGAGAGAGTGGGCGAGGGAGTGACAGGGCAGCAGAGCAACGGTGTTGGTGCTGCTGGTGCTGCTACTGCATCGAACCCTTTCCCTCTCTTGCAGTCGCTCCTGCTACCTTCTGAATGCCCCGGAAACTGCTCTGGGTTGGGTGTGTGCCTCGCGAGCAAGCAGTGCATGTGAGTGGGTGCAACGAGGGGTATGTGAGTGCAACGAGGGGTAAGTAACCAGTGCTTGTATGAAGTAGTGCTCTGCTGAACCTCCATTATTGCTTCTTAGCAACAAAAGAAACCCCCCTGGGATAGGCTTCTGCGTCTGCAATCCGGGGAGGGGAAGCCGGAGCAACAGCGCCACCCGCTGCGTCTACTTTTGAGGCACCTCAAAAGTATACCTCCCTGGGATAGGCTTCTGCATCTGCAATCTGGGGAGTTTTTCTTAGGATTCTCAAAAAAAACTCTGGGGAGGGGAAGCAAGAACAACAGCGCCACCCACTTTGTGTTGCCTTAAGCCATTCCTCCTCTCCTCCCTACCCGTTTCCCACCCCCCAACCCCTCTCCTTCCCCCTCTTCAGGTGTCCACCCATGCTCTCCGGCCCCTCATGCGCCCGTCTGCCCTCTCTGCTGCCGTTCACGTGTCTCAACGAGTGCCACTCTCGGGGCGTGTGTGTGCATGGCTTCTGCATATGCAACCCGGGGTATTTCGGCATCGACTGCTCGCTCTCCAAACCAGGGTCCATTGACCGCACGCGGTGAGAGCGTGGGCAGGGAAAGAGCTGCTTATGTGTGGTGGGTGTGTGTACGTGCTTGTGCTTGTATGGGCATCCACTGCCCATGCGCTCTCTACAGCAGGGCCCAGAGACCGCACGCGGTGAGAGGGTGGAGAGTGAAGGAGAGGTGTGTGTTCATGTGTGTGTTTGCTTGCCTGGGTGCATGTGGTTGTGGTTGTGTGGCCATCCACTGCTTGCTTGCCCCCTCCCCAGAGCATGAGGCATGGGGGCTGCATGCAGTGAGTGAGTGGGCAGTGGTGAAGCAGCATGTATGAAATGAAGCATGGGATCGGGCCACATCTCATGGTACTTCATGTCAAGAACGCCACCACCCTCCCTTCCTCGCCCCCCACTGCACTCCGCCTGCACTCCCCAGACCTTCAAGCACCCCCCTTTCCTGCATTCTGTTTCTCTCCAAAACGGCACACCATGAGCCACCACTGCCACCTTCCTGATCCCCTCTCTTCCCCCCACCCTTTCCCCACTGCCCACTACTCCCCCCCCCCTGCTCCCCCTCAGCATTGTGGCTGCACCCCCCTTCTCCTGGCCAGAAGGCCTCTCTCTCCCCACCCCCGCCCCTGCCGCCTCACCTCTCATCTACATTTACGACCTTCCCCCCCACGTTACTTCCTGGTCCCTGCTCCTCGGCACACCCCCCTCCTCTCCCTTACTCTCCTCCTTTTCCGCACCCTCTCATTCTCCTGGCCCGAAGGCTGGTGAGGGGGGAGACGATGGGGGGAGAGTGGGCGGAAGGGGAGGGGGAGAGGGCGGAGGGGAGTGGGAGGGGGGAGCGGAGGGGGTAGAGGCAGTGCTGTTCCTGGAGCGGTTACTGAGGAGCCCCTACCGCACGGCAGACCCCTATGCTGCTCATTTCTTCCTCATCCCAGTGCTCCCCTGGTGAGCTTGGTCACTGTGCAGCTTTTTTTTGCCTGGCTGATAAACGTTTCCCTACCGCCCTGCAAACCCCGATGCTGCTCACTTCTTCCTCATCCCAGTGCTCCCCTGGTGCATCTTGTCGCTCCCTATCTCTCTCCATCTCCCCCCCTTTCTGTCCAGCTGTTAAGGGGACCTTACTGCAATGTCAACCTTTATGCTTCTTCCTTTTTTTTGCCTTATCCCGGTGCTCCCCTGGTGCGTCATTTCTCACTCAAACTTCTCACATCATCCCCATTCTTCTGCCCTTCCCGCCCTTTCTTCAACCTCTCTCCCCCTTTCTTCTCCCCACTCCCTCCCCTTGTCTCCCTCTCCTCTCGCTTCCCTTTCCCCGCTCCACACGAGCAGGGCGGGAGAAGCGTCCATCCTGCGAGCAGTGTACTACGTGAGGCGCCTCTGGCCCTTCTGGTCTAATTCCAATGGAGCCAATCACCTTATCCTCACCACCATCACCGCTGCTCCTGCTCACAGCCCCCTCTGCTCGCTCACTCCGGACAAATCCCGCCACCCGTTGCTCGCCCGCTGCTCGCTCCTGGCGATTCCAGTGGCAGATACTACCTTCCCCAGCTCTCCCCTCATTCAAGTCTCGCCTGAAACTGACAGAAGTGCTGCTGCTGCCGCCAGCCCCACCAGCAGCAGCGGGAATGAGTCATCCTCACTTCCCTGCTTCCTGCCCAGTCAAGACATTCTACTGCCTCCTGCTCTTCCTCCCATTGCCCTAACTCGCTCCCTCTTCACTCTCCGCCCCCCAGCCAAACAACCCACTCGTGGCACCCTCCTGCTGTTCAGCGACTGGGGTGTGGGGGAATGGACGGGTGAGAATGTGGGGGGTGGTGGTGGGGGAGAGGGGAGCGGTGAGAGGGGGGATGGTGGCGTGAAGGAGGTGAGGGATAGAGTGATGGGGGGGTTGAAAGAAGAAGCTCACAAGGGGAAGGTGATTGTGCTGTCGCAGGATAGAGAAAACCAAAACCAAAACCGAGATGGCAGCAGCAGCAGCAATAAGAGTGGCAGTGGTAACGGTGACGGTGGCAGGAGCGGCAGCTTTGGGTTGGAAGCAGTGGTTGATGCAGCATTGGGCAGCGTCTTCTGCTTGGTGTTGCCTGGCTGGACTCACACAATGGAAGCGCCCCTTTTTGTCCTGCACGGCTGCATTCCTGTCTTTATACAGCGTGACGAGGAGGGAGAAGTATCACCACCACAGTCGCTCCAAAACAGCACTGTTTTGGATTGGTCTGATCTCTCACTGACGCTCCCTGCTTCGCAAGCGCATGTTCTCGTTACAAGCCTCCTCAAAACCCCGCACGAGGATATTGATAGGAGGCGTGAAGAAATGGGTAAAATCTGGAGCAAGCTGGTGTGGACGAGTCCATCGTTCAACCCGCTTGTTCTTCTTCCTGGGGATGACCAACGTCGCCTCACGCCATTGCTTGCAGCAGACGATGTCTTTCAGGCCATTGTTGCGAAACTGCAGAAAAGGTTGGAGAAATGAAAATATGAGGAACCGTGGGTTTTTTTTTATGTGCTTCGAGCGCTGTGCTGTGGTGTGCTCCGTTGTATCGTATTAATGTGAATGTGTATCATTCCATCCATTATACTGAACCACATTCCAAGCCAGCTTTATCCCTGAGTCGAAGACCAGAAGGGATTTCAGCCAATCTCCGCTATAAGTCCCTTGGTCAAAATGCGCGATGTTCTCCCGCCAGCAGTCCGCCGAATGTATCTCAGCGGACAAGTGAGTCCGCCCGGGGGAGCTCGCTGCCCGCGGGCAAAGAAAATAAATTCCATTCGGGCATGCATCCGGTCAGGGAGGCATCAACCTTAAACACAGGGAGGCATGGATTTAGGGTTGATGTGATGCCTCCCTCGGATGGCATGCCATCCGAGAGGGTTTTAGTTTTTTTTCTGCCCTGGGCAGCATGTCGTCAAGTCGTCAACAGGTCGTCAGGCTTGACGACCCGTTTCCGCTGAGATATTCCAATCCAAATGCTCCTTCCGCTCCGTCCTCAGCGCATTCCCATCACGGTAATGACCAAATTAGGGCCGAAGAATAGCAACGTCCATCCGAGCCCTGGTGGGTTCGAACCCACCAGGTGCCTCTCCTGGTGGGTTTCGAACCCACCAGGTGCGCCCATGGGCAGAAGCGAGCTGCCCGGGACAAAAAAACTAAAACCCTATCGGGCTTTTAGGGTTGATGCCTCCCGAATGGCATGCCTTCCGAGTGGGTTTTATTGTTTTTTGCCCGCGGGCAGACTGTTGGAAACAACTGATCTAAGCGCCTCTGTCGTGTCGAAACACCAAGACAGAAGCGAAGCAGATCGTATCGAAACATCGGTGAGTCAACCCTCGGAGGTTGAACAACTGTTGGAGGTTACGCGAAAGTCAAAGGTCAGCGACCTTTGACCTGACAAATGCAGCGCGACAGCAAGGACAAACAACTGTCTCGATACTGAGCAGTTGCCCGAGTCGACACTGTATCGAACCGCAACAGCAACAGTAAAACAGTTATTAACCGTATCTTTTCATATTCCCTGTATTCTTATAAAAAGCATGTATCTCTTTGTTATTAATCAATCAATTTTGCCCTCACACACTAGCGCAAGGTGGTTCACAATCCTTTTATTAAACGCTTCCGCTATTACATCATCCTACCCTTGAATTCTGTCCTGCAAAGATCCTAAGGGCTTTTCAGCCCAACATGGTATGAGAGCAGTCAGGACAAATTCGACTACGAACAAGATATCTACAACATCGCAAGACATGGCAACGCAGAAGGAGAGAAGCTCCTCTAACGGCTCTCCCGGTACTACTTTTACTCCACCTCCTGCCTCCGGCCTACAGACAGAGGAGGGAACGGCAACAAGACCCAGAGCAACATCTTCAGAAACTCCAGCAAATCAAGCTGCGGCCTTCGATCCAGACATGATGGAGAAGTTCTTCTCCTTCATGTCCTTCTACGAACAACACCAGCAAGGGGCACCTGCACAGTCAAACAACAGCCACAACAACGCAACACCGATGAGCCTCGACGGTTCATCCTACGCACGTGGAAATCAACAGCAACGGCCTACCTTTGCTCCGTATGAGCCCCAGCGCGGCTCCGTCAGCTTTATGCCACACCCGCAGCCCGCATCTAGACAAGAAAAGACATTGGACGCACTTCAAGTTCAGTCGCAGTTCGCGCACGTCTTGAAACTGCAAACGACAAGACCTTTCGACGGAAAGGACTTTTTTACCTGGTCATTCGAGTTCGAGCTAATGATGGAAGGCGCGCAAATCCTTGGCTTCTTCGACGGGTCCCTGCCATATCCAACACACGGCACACAGTACGACAAGCAGCAGTACACGTATCAGTCAATGATGGCGTACACAATTCTACTGAGAAACATCACTCCAAGCCAGCAGCAGAACATACGGTCTTACCGGGGATACGGCAACTCTGCAGAGCTCGCGTACAACCACCTGAAGAACATGTATCAAGCAACAGACAGCGTAAATCAAAGTCGGTTAATGGCGCAACTGACGACCGTCGAAATGAAACCAGGCGAAAAAGGGATGGCGTATATCAGACGTTGTCGCGAATTGCGCGACAAACTCCTTCGATGCGGAGGGTCGATTTCAGAAGACGCCTTCGTCACAGTCATCATCGGCGGCCTCGGTCCTTAGTGGCGCTCCACCCGCACCATACTCCGAGCACACGGAAAGATATCAGAAGCAGCACTCTGCGCCGAGATTCACGCTGAGCAACAAGATATGGACCTGCAAGAAGAACGACACAAGAGAAAGACATCAGTGCCCGAATTCGCATTCCACACTCAACGGCGCTACAACAACAACAACTACCGGCATCAACCGAAACCAGTACCTCCGTTCTGTCACCGACGTCAGGGCATTCCCGCACGCACTGCCCCAACCGACAACAGTCAGTACCAACGCAGCGGCAGTATCGGCCTTCAAGCAGTCAGGTCGCCTCAACGCAAGCGAATCCGACCTCTCAAGTACAAGCTTCAACAACATCGACGGGACAATCTGCGCAAGGAACAAGAAACATCGTCAGTTGCATGACACGACTAACCGATTCATGCTTCACAGAGTCACCACCATATTACTCACCGGAAGAACAGCTTGACAACAGCACGTCTCGCCGCGAGTCACTTCAACCAAATCCGACGTATGCAGCCATCGCTCAAAGCGAGCCGTCCGGAAAAGATACGTGGTTCTTAGACAGCTGCTGAGGACAGCATATGTGCTCTTCAGGACGTTTTGTTCAACGTGAACACCAACTTCAACGCGGGGTTGTCATCACCGTCGCCAACAATCAGAACCTGCGCACACGACGACAAGGCGTAGTGCAACTTCAGTCACGAGAGACAAACGTCATACTGCAAATGTCAAAGGTTTTGATAGCAGAAGGACTCGGCTACAACCTACTGAGTGTCAGTCAACTGATGGCAAAGGGCATGCACCTCGAAGCAAATAGTACTACTCAGGAGTTCAAGTTGTACCACGGGAAGGGCGGTCTCTACATCGGGAAGGCGGTCCTGAAAAACAACTTCTTCGTCCTCGACTTCGTCCCAGATCTTGGCACTGCCGACAGCGACGGGATTGTCACTTTCACTTCTTGGACACATCCACCGGACCTTGACCCCGACTTCAGTCCAGAAGGCTTCTGGTACTCGCACACCATCCCTGAGGCAGAACGAACAAGAGCATTAGCAGCAGAAACAACACCGGCAGCAGCAGAAACAACATCGGCAGCAGCAGAAACAACGGCAGCAGCAGCAGCAATATCGACACCAATCACTGGTCCTTCAACTAAATCACCTCAAATCGACGACACTCCACCAACTCCTACGCAGCAGCTTCACCCAAAAACACGAGAAAGTACATCGAAGTGCAAAATTCACCGCAAGCTTCTATTCCAACGCCGACTTGTATCGTCGCTCACCCGGACATCGCGCTAGCGAAGACATCTGGCACGCACGAATGGGACATCCAAGCAACACGGTGTTAAACAACACAATCAGAGCAGGAGTGCTCGACAAAGATTCACTGCTTCTAACTGATGGAAGCGAACTTCGACGAGCTCGTGGAACATGCTTTACCTGCCCCGAAGCTGACTTACCACATCGGCCATTCGCTTCTCACCACAACCCCAGCGCACCAGCTTACGCACCACTTGAAAAAGTGTACAGCGACATCCTGTACAATCGCGAACCTGGACAAGGAGCATACAGCTACACCATCACGTTCATCGATGCCGCTACACATTACGTTTGGCACCTTAATCTCCCGAGCAAGGACATGGCTTTCAAAGCCTTCATCGCTTGGCTTCCAATGGCAGAACGAGAATCGGGCGTGAAGCTCAAAAGCTTCCAGTCAGACGGAGGAGGAGAATACACCTCACAGAGGTTCAAGCAGTTCTTGGCAGAAAGGGGAATCAAGAGACTCATCTCGCTTCCCTACGCCCATCAACAGCAAGGCGTGGCGGAACGGATGAATCGAACTCTCCAGAACACCATGCGCAAATTACTGCGTGGCATGCGACTGCCCAATCACCAGTGGCCTGAAGCGATGGACCACGCTGTCATGCTGCACAACTTGCTTTCGTCGTCGTCACTACCGAACAAAGCATCACCGCACCTGCTGTGGACAGGAAAACAGGGCAGCACAAAAATGTTAAGAGTTTTCGGCTGCATGGTACAGTACCGACCCCCATCTGCACGAGCCGGCCGATTTTCTCAACACGCACAGTGGGGACTACACCTGGGCATCGAAAGAAATTACAACGCGGGGAAGATTTTCGACGTCCACTCCAAAGAAACAGTAGCAGCACGTGATGTCATTTTCTACGAACGACTCACCCTTCCGACATACCTTGCCAACCTGGCAGAGGACCGGGACCCCACAGGTGGCTTCCGTGGTGATCGAGCCTTCGCCTCGGCAGCAGACGAAGCTGACTGGGACGAGCAGAACGTGGATAACGCCTCCGAAGAAGCAGGACCACTCCCATACTGCTCCGTGCCTATCCCGATGGACGACGAAAACCCTCGCGAAAGCGTCAACGCCAAAACTTATTTCGACCTCGCCGACACCGGTTACGTTACACCTGCAGAAGTCAACACCAACGAAGCAGAACGCATAGGGCCCAATTTCATACCTGACCCAGAAACAGGTGACGAAGCAGCTTATCCCGCGGACACAACACTCCCCCGCTACACACAGAGTGGCCTTCAGATACTCGGCCTAGTCACCTCGGTCCACGGCACCACAACTCCTAAGGAGACTGCCACGGTTCAGCAGGCTCTGGGGGGGGAGCATAGGGAAAAATGGCGTGAAGCCATGGACAAGGAACTGAAAGCACTACAGGAGCGCAACACATGGAAAGTTGTTCCTATCGGCGTGGCACGAAACAAGACAATACTCACCGGGAAGTGGGTCTTCCGTGTGAAGACGAAAGCAGATGGCACCATCGACAAGTTCAAGGCACGA